TTTTTTTTTTTTTGTCCTAAAAATATATAAAATATTAATTAAAATAACTATCAAATATATTAATTAATATATTTTATATATTTTTGTAATATTAAAATACCAAAAAACCCACAACTACAACTACATGACAGCACTCCCAAACCAAACCAATCCTTATTATATTCAATTAACTACTTTTCAAAAGTTGGAGAAGGCAGTCTTGTTTGAATTTGCAGTTTGTAATCATGTCATTAGCTGCATAGCAATATAACATTTCAGCTCTTAAAAAAAAGTGAAATATAACATTTAACGTTGTTATTGCTAAAGTTTCAGTTTCTTTTAGCACTACATATTTCTTAATTTGAGATCTCTAAATTAGCTTTAACTGTTTTGTTTAGCAATTATAAACAAGTAATGCTGGAAATTAGCTATAATTAATTACCTTTAGAAATTATTAAGACCCAAGTAATTTTAAATCTTGACAAGAATAGATATACCATATATATAAGAGATCATATCACTATACCATCAGTCATGTAGTATAATTAAATAGTTATATGTACTTTTAATTATATATTTAGAGTTCAATCCTTAATTTCTATATAAAATAAAAGAACAATGATTGATACACTCTCTGGTTCAATACATTTAACAATACTTTTCGGTTCAATACTTATAAATCTAATATTTTTAAATTTGAATTTAAGATAGAAAAATTTTTAAAGGCAAGTTTTAATGATCGAACAAACAGGTATTATATAAGTATGTTGAATCGAAGGGCGTACCAATCATTTTCCAAAATAAAAAAGAACTTAACAGCATGCATTATCAATTTTTTGTATTCCTTAAGAAAGCACCCTGAGCTGATTTGTGAGGAATTAAATTACATGTTACTAGTTATCAAAAACAAAATAGCTTTCATCACTTTGATCAGAAAAACAAACCTCGATTATATTGAAATTAGAAGAAGTACGTGCATTATTTGAATATAATTATATAATCATATATACATATAACTAGCTAGCTAGGAGCAAAAAAATACAAGAAGAGACTAATTATTAATCAAACAAGTGTGCGTTGGATGAGCACTTACAAGGCATCACGAGTCATGACATAAAAATGCACTTTAGAATATAGATTTATATGTGCAAGGCATTTAGTTTTTTGAAACTGATCTATGCTTTGAATTCCATGGATTTTTAAAAAGTTGCTCGCACCTCTGCCTCTTTATTAGTATCATAGTGAGCTGAGTCTATCTGCTCTCTCAATACTCTCTTAACCTCTTCATCTACATATGTTAACTGTATTATGATTAGGCTTTAAGTAATTACAGAAGTCTTTAATTTTTTTTTTTTTTTATTTTATCAGCAAAGAAACAACTTTTATATAGGAGGTACCTCAACCCGTTACAACCTTATGTACATAGTTTCTCACTGCAGTTGAAAAAACTGAACATAACTCCGGAGCCTATCAACCAGTAATCCAAAAGTCTTTAATTTTAACCTCATCAACATATATAATAGATCACCAATTGCTTGCTTTGCTCATTAATTTATATTAAGGTCCTTTAGTGCAGTTCAAGGCAAACACAGATACTTGCACTAATCTGTGTCTGCCAATCCAAAATAAAAAAACTTGAACTAATCTGTCTTTTCTCTAGTATTATTAGCAGAAAATTGTCAACATTGTTACATCAAAATCATCACAATGTGATTAACCACACATTTCACGTGGTATCTTGTTCTTAAAAAAAATAAAATAAACAAATAAATAAAAGAACATAGTATGTTGAAATTATCCAATATTTGTCATCCAGCATTCCTTTAACTTAGACTTTGAAATGCTGTTTAAAATTTGCACCACCAACTGAAATTTCTCTGTATTACTCGATGTTCCTTGCACAGGATCGCTTCAGATGAGGAGGGTATGTATAGGACAAGGCAGACTCATATTTGAAGCTGGACCATTGCTTTGATGTTCAGGCATCTGATGAAGTTGAGGAGTTTAGGTCTTAATTTAATAAAAATATTGTTACAGCAAAGCTGGTCTCCGTAGTAGTTCCAATACTATAAAGAATTTTACCTCATCATTGTAAGTTATTTATTGCAGAGTTTGTTTTAAAGAGCGTAGAGTAACACTATGTTTAGTTCTGTCACTTTTTTCTCTGGGGCTTGAAGAAGGAATGGTTCTTTAGTAGGTCTAGAATCTACGTGGCAAACGGGTAGTGCTTAATTACCAAATCCCACTTGATTTTCGTTTTCTAAATCAGTAGTTATGTCGCATTGATTCTTCTGTAAAATTGAAATGTTAGTGAGATATAAAACACTTGAACTTTAGAGAAAAAAAATGTGCATTTCATTTTTTTTTTCTTATTTAAATACACACTTTTGAGTTCCTAAATTAGTAATAAATTTTTATTTTTTTAAATAAAGATACAAATTTTGTATTTTTTTTAAATAAAGATACAAATTTTGTACTTTTTTAAATAAAGCTACAAATTTTGTATTTTTTATTTAAAAATTTATTAGATGATGATGATAATAGGATAAATCGCAATCTTAATTGAAATTAAGCAAAATTTATATCTTTAAATGGAAAATTTACTGCATGATTAAAAACCAAAAAATTCATATTCTTAATTTAAAAAATAGGAAAGTTCATATGCTACTCTGAACCTTTTCTCAAACTTATTGTTCAATTGGATAGTCTTGTCCTTCCCCAAACAAGGAAAAAGATTAGAGAGAGAGAGAGAGAGAGAGAGAGAGAGAGAGCTTTAAATAGTCCAGCCCAGGTAGAAGAGAGAAATGGGACTTTTATCCAATCTGTTGTGTTGGGTTGCCCATCACCAGTTAGTGGCCTAATTATCTGCTTTACGCATTTCATGATTAAGGCCTGGACTCGAATTCTGGAAGACCTTGCCCCTTGATAAGGAGACTTCAGAATTCTAAATATCGAATCTTGCAATGATACATTAGAGACTTTCAGATGGGATATAGAAAAGAAATTCGGGATACAACTGATCTTATACATTAACAATGCAAGAAAAAAAAAAAGAGGACTTACAAAAATCTAATCCAAGTTAGAGAGTCTCATTACTAAACATAAGAGTTGAGCCAGATGTAGGCTTAAGTAGATAAAAAAGTTACAGTGAGTTCAATTTTCGCCCCAGCAAAAAGAGGGAATGGGATGCAAAAACAATTTTGAACTCTGGCAGCATTATCCACCAACTTCTCAAGTAATTTGGAGGCCAGACTCAACTAGAACTGTATGTATAAAATTCAATATTCTTCAATTCCTGCCCCACCCAATAAACAGTTGAAGCTCTGTCCCATAAGTTAGCTATAAATATCTGCAAGAAAGACCATGGACATCAGAACTAGGACCAGAAAGTACTGCAGAACAGAAAGAACAAGAAAAATTTGTGCCTTTTTATGTAATTTGCTTTAGAAATAAGCTGTAAATATTGGTATCAAATTACAGAACCCCAGAGAACAAATAATTTGACCATCCCCAACTACAACATCCCTTAGCAATCAGCAATAATCATCAAAATCTGATAAACTAGAGAATTTATGAGTCTATAAATGGTCAAATAAAGGAGGAATAGACCTCTAATGAACCACATATTTTTAGCTTTTGATGATCAATAATGCCTCATTACATGATATAGGGGGCATAAGCTGCATACAAGCTTTGTGGGCCAGACAAGATCATTCATTTTCTGCTCACAAGGCTTAAAGAAAAGTGAACCTTATTAGTTTTCAGGCAGTATAGATAGTGAAATCCAAAGACAAACACAGGCTTTAACCCACCAATTCATATTTCCAACGAGTATGTCCTGAAAATCCAAACAAGTACACTCAACTTCAAACTAACCCCCAAAATTGTGCCATATCCACCCTCTACATTTCCAATCTCACAGAACACATCTTCTACTGAAAAGCTGACAAGAAACAGGACTTCACCTTCTTGTCACTGATGTCAAATCATTCGCAAGCGAAAGAAACATAATAGTTAATATGTTATATTTTCTCTCTGGACGTGCAATATCTTCCTCCAATTTCAGGAAACATAATTGTTAATATTATGCCTATGAATTAACATACAGGAAATTAGCTTTGTGTTAACAATTTCTGACACCTTATCCTGACCAACTCTCTTTTGAGTGAATCTATCAAATCAAGCAAACACAACCACAAAGTGAAAATTCAGAAAATTCAGTAACACCTTGTATATTATCATCTTCAACCCCAAAAGATTGTTCTATATTGAGACATAACAGAAGCTCATAACTGAGGGAAACCTCCTGACCAAATTGAATAATTAAACCCCCCATGAATAATTGAAAATATATATCCCATCAACACACAAGAAACAAGGTATGTGATGACAGATTTGGAAATTGCATTAAGCTTTCAAAGTACAAACTCCAAATGATTTGCAGCAATCACCCATGGTTCACAAGTCACAAGAGAATATTGTTTAAGAGTTACTAAATGCACAATAAGTTTGAAACTAGACCACTGACTTAAAGCATCAGTGTCACTAAACGCACTAAAATTAAGGCCTTTCAATTGATTGTATCAACACCCAATTCCCAGAAACAAAAGCACCAACACAACATGATCCTTTGTATCACCAGAACATACTGAAAAAATTAGCATAAATGTCATAAACAAAAATGGCAAGATTAACTCTTTAAATGAACAATTGCATGCAAAACCAACAGGAAAACCGAGACTTGATCAAATTTACATTCTTGTACAAAATATGTCTCCCAAAATAATTCCTAACAAAACATCATTAACTAAAAAGTTAAGAGTCTTTGTGAATAGTAAGCCTCACCACTTGACCCCGAGCGTTTCCCACGCTTGATCCTCTCCAGCTGCACCTGCGTGTCCATAAACATCCTCATCCTCTGTACCTCCAAATCCTTAGCAAACTGCATCCTCTGCTTCTCCAATTCTACCATCTGTCTCAGCTTCTCCCCCTCCACCCTCTCGTACATCTCCCCAAACCTTTCTATTGCTCGAGCCAATCTCCTCATCCCCTCCTTCTCTTCCCCTTCGCCTTGATCACTTTCTTCTCCCTCGCTTTCAGCTCCTTCTTCCTCTTCACTCTCTGCTGCTGCTGCAGCTGCAGCAAGGGCCGAATAATTTCTTCTAAAATACCCATCGTCCACCGACGCCGAACCCCTTTTCTGTGGCATAGTAACCCTGGCCGCAGGCGTCGGCGTCCTCCTATACGGTAGCGGAAGCGGCAGCGCCACCGGAGGCGATCCCGAGATCCTAGGAGACAATCTCGGTGACGGTTTGGGAGAGAGCTTCCGGGAAGGCGACGGCTTCTTGGGGGCGTAGTTAGGTCCGACTAGAGAATCCATACGGTCAAAGAACGGCCAAGGGGAAGTTAGGGTTCCGCTAGAGGAGGTGATCCGAGCCTTCTCAACCTTGTACTTCTTCTTGATGGTATCGATCCGGTTCTTACACTGAACATCCGTACGGTGCGTCTTCTTGGTATGACCATGGAGGGCGTTGACCGTATCAGCAACGTCTTGCCAGTCCTTCTGACGGAGGTTGCCGCGGTTAAGTTCAAGATACCGGCGGCCCCAGGCGTCGACGAGGGTGGACGTAGCCTCTTCCGACCAGCAGTCTTCACGGACAGGCAAGGGACGGGAATTATGGGTGGCGGAGGAGGGATCCGTGAGGTCACCCATGGTGGGGATGCGTGGATTAGGGGTTGTGGTGGTTTGAGAAAATTCGGCGATTTAGGTTTTGGCGGATTGGAATTGGAATATAGTAATAAAACGAAAAGAGAGGTGGGAGTCGGTTCGGCGATGACAACATGCCGGACGCATGAGAAGGGGCATGAGAGTAGGGAAAAGGGAATAATAGATGAAGGGGTGGGTCGCCGGGAGAGAAAGCCGAAGAAGGAGCAGTTTCATCACCAGTGAAAGCTGAAGAAGGGAGCAACTTTATGAGCAGGGAAAGGTAGGAGGAAAGGAGGAAAAAGATGAAGTTTGAGAGAGAACCCAGATCTGGGTTTGCAGAGGTAACGGAAAAGGAAAGGTAAAGGAGAGAGAAAGTAAAAGAGGAAGAAGAGATGACGTTGATGGAAAAAAAGGATATCAAAAATTTTAAATTAAATAAAAATGCCACCTCATAAAAAAATGGCCAACTGTGCTCTTTTTTTTCCATGTCATTAGTCAAGCAAAAAAGAATTGATTTTATGGCATTTTAATGTGCCACCTGTCATTTAACTGACGGAAGGACCATTTTGGTATCCAAAATTAAAGTTTAAGGATAATTTTGGTATTTTATTAAGTTAAGGGACAATTTTGATGCCAAAGTAGAAAGTTGAGGGACCAAAATGGTACTTAAACCGTTTTTTTATTGTTGGATTTGGGCGGGTTTTTGGATGAAGTTGGGCCATTTATGGACTACTGAGATGAGTTTGTAAATGTGGCGGGCTTCAAGGCTTTTTTTAAGGTAATTTAACCTCCAACTTTGAATTTCTTTGATTGAGTCCCTTTCTTGAATTCTTTTTTCAATCTCTTCACAAAATTTTCTTTTTTTTGCTTGTAGCCCCTGAAACAAAAATAGATTATATTAGGTTTAAAAAAGCAAGAAAGAGAAATTTTTCATATTTTTGTGTTTTGTTTTCACATTTTATAATTTTTTTATGTTTTTTTATTCATTTTGTGGTTTTTTGATTAATTTTAAATTTTTATATTTTTCAAACAAACTAGATGAAAAATTGGATTATGACATTATCTTTATAAAATCTAGCACAATGAATTCCCATGAAACCAACTTTTAAACTAACAATTAAATGAAACAATAAAAGCAAGAGATACACCCGACTTAAGTTATGTTTAGTGTAGTGATTAAAATTTAATGGATGGTGGGTAACGAGTAACGAATAGCAGGTGATAGATAATATATAATTATTTGATTATATAATTATTTGATTATATAATAATTAACAGTTGTTGTTTAATGTTAAATGACTAATAGATATTTAAAAACAATTAAGTGTATTTCTTTCTTTCTTCCTATTTTTTTATTATTAGGTTGAACCTCCCATTTGGTCTCTTAACTATTGTATGGATCTAGGAGTTGATCCATAAACTAAAAAAATCTATAATTTGATCCCTAAAGTTTCCAAATTTGGCTGCAAGTTTGTCTCTCCTTTAAAAAATAATTGGCATATTAGTTACTTGATTGTAGAAGGTCCTTAATTAGGATCCAAACGGCTATCTACTACTCCCAAATTGTTAAATATAAACTTTTATCAAACACGTAATTTATAATAGTTTTGAAATAAATAAATTTACTAAATACATATATTTAGAATTTTAAGTAAAATCAATAACCATTACTCAAAACTATTGTACCAACACGCCCTTAATTTTATATTTTAAGATTTTAAATTTTAAATGAAAATCAAGCTCAAGAACTCCATCAGTGCGTTAATATTAAAAAAATTATAATTTCTATAAGAGATGCTTTCTAGAGTTTGTCGAAGATTTTGCAAAAGGAGCATTGGATCAGAATTCAACACGACTAACAACGAGAATAGTTGAAGTATCTACTTGTCTAATTGAAGGCAAAAATTAGTGTTAAGTATGTAGACCTTTTCTATTTTCTCATATAAGCCCTAAAAGAAAGAAAAGTGGCATATAAGCCCTTAAAGGCCTGAATTTGAGCAAATTATCTCCTGTTACCAGCACAATTACGTACATGCAGTCACACAAGTTAAATAGTTGTTTATTTTTTTCACTTGCATGGAAATTCCTTTACATTTAAATGTTATTGTGGCATGAGACTCAGTTGTTTACGTTTTAATTTTGAGAATTTTAACTTATATGTTGCAAGTATTTAAGTGTAAAAAAATTATCACATCAGCATTTAAGTGTCAAGGAATTGTCACGCAAGAAAAAAAAATTGTTTAACTTATATGACTGTACATGATTTCACCGCTAAAACAAAGGCTAATTTACTCAAATCCATATGCATTTAAGGGCTTGCATGTCACTTTTTTTTTTTTTTCTCTTTTAAAGCTTGTGTGAGAAAATGAGAAATGTTTAGAGCTTAGTATTGGGTTTTCCTCTAATTGAATGAAGCATAAAAAGGCAGAGACCACTTGGAGACGATGTAAAATGTTTGGAATTGTTAAAGGGCAATAATCTTACTTTGAAAAAATAATAAAGAAGCATGTAAATTAAATATAAGAAATGCTCTCTACAAGCAAATGAATTTTTTGTGATGGTAGATTCAATCACAAACTTATTTTTTATACACAAATTAAATTATTGTCTAATATTTAGTTATTTACTTTTTGTCACAAATACTAAATCACTAAAATTAATAACAATAACTTTTTGAATCGTCACAAAAAACATGTTCTTAGGAAAAAAAAATAGACACAATTATTAATTTATTTGTAATGATTTTATAAATCACAATTAAGATTATTTGTGTTGAAATAATTGAACACAAATAGTACCTTATTTGTAATATCTATATTTCATCACAAAAAAAAAAGTCCTTTATAACACTACTAAAATTTTGGGTTTTACCAACAATACATCAGCAATAAGGGATTGCTTGTTGCTAAAAATAAGTATCAGCAACAAGCTTTATGTTGCTGAAAGTGCTACAGTGCACCAATCCATGCAAAAAGCTGCC